TTTTGGTGTCATAGGTACAGGGACCTCCCAAGGATTTACCTCCTCATCGTGACTGGGAGGCCCGTCCTGGTATCAAAGTTGCATGGCGGCAAATCCCCCTCTGATCCACAAAGGCTGTGACCGCCTGTGGTGGTGACGACTTGGTGCATACTTTGGCCAGACTCAACTAGGAATTTGAGGGAACCACAGTGGCTTGACCAGTAAATCTTCGAAAAATGGTTCTACTCTCGCCATCTTTTTCACAAAATCCATTTTACGGAAGGTGCGCATTCTAGCTCAGCGCCGATAATACTGACCCTACATTCTGAGAGGCTCAGAACTCTCGTCTTTATAGTGCTCCCCATTTCCAGAGGTCACCCACCACTGTCTGTGATAGTCGGAGTTAACTGAGGACACATTTTGCTCCCTTTGCATGAATTTTGTCGATAAACTGAAAAATGGAAGAACAAAATACATTGGTCTGCGCAAAAGCTTAAAAACGACTTGCAGGTCACCCTAAATTGTTATTAGCGCTAAAACTAAGGTAGAAGGATTTTTACATAAGAGTTAGGTGATACACGAAGCAATGGATTCAACTAAGAAACCTGGAAGGTAGTAATAAATGGATAAAAATTATATACTTTTTCATATACGTTGTGAATGTGAATAGCTGAAGCGTTTGCTTTCTTTAGAACCTAAGACATAAGAGTTCGGTGATAAATAATGCAGTGGGTTCAAGCTGGTAAACTGGAAGGTGTGAATGGAGAGAGATTGTATATATTTCAAGTATGTTGTAAGTGTGTATAGCTGAAAGACTTGCTTCTATTAAAATCTACTTGTATAGCCCAAACGAAAAGGTAAAAATAGAAAAACTTTTAGAAACATATACACCTAGAAGTTCAAGAAGTTTGAAGTATATCTAGAAGGCTATATATCTAGAAAAATCGCTTCCATTCCTGAACGTCCAAATTAACCTATCAGAAAATGGCTACATTATGAAGTGGTACCGAAAGCCAAGTAGCAAAAGCATCTTGGTACATTACCTCTCTTTTCACCCCTCTCACACGAAAAGAGCGCTTGTAAGAAACATGTTTCGAACAGCAACCAACGTGTGCACGGGAAGAGAGCAGAGAGAGGAGTCCAGGAACTTGGCGCGGCAAATAGCCATTTCCAATGGCTACGAAACTGCAGCTCGGGATAGGTTTAGGAGAAATCGGAGGCTCCCAAACGACAACTCCAGCGATAAAAAGGTTCCGTTTATCCTACCCTTTATCTCAAATGATTTAAGAACAGCTATAAAACGCTGCTTAAGAAGGCCGGGTCTAGAGAGAAAAAGGTCTTCGATAAGCGTAGATGAAATACCACCAAGTAATCTTAGGCGTCAGCTAGTTCGTAGCAGCCTATATGACTGTCTATGTGCAACGCAAAATTACATAATTTGCCCCAATGGAAAGACGGTGATTGTATGAGCTCGGGTATAGTTTATCTGTTATCCTGTAAGGCGTGGGGAGGCGAATACATTGGCGAAACGCGCAGACACTTCTGTGTCCGCATAAAGGAACACCTAACTGGCAAACATAAACCAAATATCCCGCTAGGCACGCATAGGACGCAAACACATAACGGGGAGGATTTGAAGTTCGTGTCACGATCCTCGCACAGGAATCAAGAACGCAAGCGCGCAAAACTCTCGAGGCGTTCTGGATTAATTCCAGAAATCCGAAAATGAACCGCAGGGAAGAATGCCTCACTATCACGCGTGATATTAGGCAGTATATAAGCCTGTTATTCTGATGGGAGAGGCACATTACGCTTCCATGTGATTTCTGTGCTGTTGGTCTTTACGCGACATACTTAGTGGAAACCTCATCGAAAGCTGTGAGTGTGCGAAGCTGTGTTCAATGTGATTGAAGTCTTGGTTTGGCGTTTTCTCTGTTTGGTTGTGAAGGTGTTTGGCGGAATAGGTTGCTGTCAACGTGACCTTTCCAGGCTCTGAGGAAGGCGAAATCCTCCGAAACGTCATATTTTACGTGAGTGGAAAAGTGGAATAGCACCTCGTGTTTGCTGAGCAGAAGTGGAAAGAATTGTACAAAACAAGTGTAATATATAAGAAGTATAAACTACAAATAGAAGTGGAATGGACAGCTTCATTTGCTTCCTTCAAAACGGGTAGGCCACTCTTCGTACGTATAAAAGAACATCTAGTCGGTAAACGTAAGCTAAGTACTCCACTAGGTACGCATAGCACGCAGAAACATAACGGAGAAGATTTTGAAGTAAGGGTTACGATCCTCGCGCAAGAATCGAGAACACAAGCGCGCAAAACTCTAGAGGCATTCTGGATAAATTCCAAGAATCCGAAAATGAACCGCAGGGAGAAATGCCTCGTTATCACGCGTGATATTGGACAGTGTATAAACCTGTTATTCTGATGGGATGGGCACATTACGCTTCCATGTGAATTCTGTGATGTTGGTTTTCACGCGACATACTCAGTGGAAGACTCATAGAAAGCGGTGAGTGTGCAGAGCTGTGTTAAATATGATTGAAGTCTTGGTTTAGCGTTTTCTCTGTTTGGTTATGGAGGTGTTTGGCCGAATAGATTGCTGTCAACTTGAGCTCTCCAGACTCTGAGGAAGGCGAAATCAGCCGAAACGTCAGCTTGTACGTAAATAGAGAAATAAAATAGCACCTCGTATTTGCTGAATGGAAGTAGAAAGAGTTATATATGAAGAATCGGACGTAGTGTTCAAGACGAAACCCTCGAAGAACAGCCGAAATAACACCCGAAATGTTCAAGAACAACTGTGAATGGTGGATGCGGCTTAAAACGAATTGAGTGCTAGAAGTGATGGTATTCGCGCAGTGAAATGGGATGAGGTGTCATGTAAATATATGTATGTATATATATGTGGATATATAACCAGGCGAAGAAGAAATGAAGAAGCTGTGGTCTATTAATCGAAAAACTGTGCACTTCGGTGATCGGCCCTCCGCGTTCCACCGTAATTGTTTAATCGCAGAGAATTCATTCCGGTCACGATTGATGCTATTAAGTGTTTCGATTGCTCCGAGCTTTATCGATCACATTTTTTTACAGTTCCCATAAGGGCTAATAGAAAGAGAGAAAATTTTCAATCGATCGCGAGCGGAAAGCACTAATGGCCATCGAATCGAGGCAGAAGAGTGTATATCTACGTTAGTGAAGGTCAGTTGGTACCATGCCGTATAATATTTTTCTTGCACTAATAAATTGTTCTAACTTTTTAACGTTTAGCTCATTGCAATTTATTCAGATTAGTGATAAGTGACGTCAACTGATTTTCTACAGGTTTTCGATGAGCTTTTCTTTCAGTGTTTGCGAAAGCGCAGGTTACGATCTTATTACGAGGTGCAACTTCGATCAACTTTGAGAACGTTCGGAAAAACAACGCATTAATTTGCGGTAATACTTCATATGGATGGTTTCCCATCAATATGCGTTTCATCTTACACAAGTTCTGCACCATCTGAGAAATTTGCGAAGTTGGGCACTGCAATAACTTTGCTAGATTTTTCTGCAGCTTCCGCACGAATGCGATTGAACATACTTTTCAAAAGCAGAGATATAGATTTAGCGTGCATATACCTAGCTTGGAACGTCTTTACGATTACATACATAAAGTGTTGAAGTTTTTCAAATTTTCAAGTTGTTGAATAAAACATCTTCATACCTGCAAATTTGTTTAAGACCAGTTGGCAATCTCACAGGAGAAATATTTAGCTCATTGTTCGCCCGAATTGGAACCGCTCTTTCCTGAATTACTAATCGATATGGGTCCAACTTTGAACTCCTATTGGCGGACTGAGCGACTGTGCTATTCGGACAGACTTTGACTGTCATATTCAAAACCTTTTAATGGCCGCGTTATTATTAATGTAAGCCTACTTTTAATATTGACAAAATTCAAGAATTTTTTCTTTAGCCTATCTTCATTTGTTTTATTTTTACTTATTTTTCCTATTTTCCTGAAGTACTTCAGACTTTATTTACCATGGATTTGTTTTACTTCATAGACTGCTTTCGATGATCTCAAAGCTGCCATATTCCTACCCTAGGTTAAAATACCCTTTCGCCTAGAAAAAAACTGGCAATGTTGATTAACATTACTACACATATAATGCTGATATAGAACCGAAATGGGGTTTATGTAGGATATTAGTTACAGTTGAATGGCAATAGACACTTGATCAGTGGCCTGTCGTACGTACACCTCTAGCCTGCTATTCCTTGGAAATCAAAAAACTGATGCCAGGCTTTTAAGGTACCTTCACACTTCCACGACTTTTAATGTTGTCAAATACATGGCGCATCATTAAAAGATTGATCTATGCCGAAGGCTTTATCCTATATCCTTTCAAGGAATTGGAATATTGTCCCAATGGAATTGATGTAGAAAAGACGATCTCTCCCTTGTGGTTATCGTCGGCTATTCCCTAGTGGGGGCGGAAAGTTTCGTCGCTAATCAAACAAAGCTTGGTTCCTTTTGTCTTCCTAACCTGCTTCCAACTTTTCTAATTGTTTAACTTAGCTTTCTTTGCTACTTTGCAAGTATAACACTCTAAGTAGTTTACCGAAAGTAAACTTCCTATTCTCGAACTTCCTTATCTACATTCTACAGCTTTCCATTCTGCAATACTTTTGTTTTCAACTTTTTTTTACTAGTGGCTTGTTATTCTACTTGTTTCGCTTGCCAAGTATGGGCCCTACTCTTTTAGATGTGGCGCTTGCTGTTATTTCCAATGGCCGTTTTCGCGCAGAATTCCCTCCCTCAGGAAACCACAGCGATGGCACAAAATGTGGACAACTTCCGAAGATGTATGAATATCAGAAGCACACCACATATCGTGTGATGTCTACTTTGAAGAAAAAACTAGAAAATATAATACTCATGCTTTATTTCGACTGTTTTACGTAGTAGGGAATGTCGTTTTGATACGTAACTCTAACAAATTCAGTGTACGATATTGCAACCAAAATAATGGAACTGAGTGGCTCATTCGTGAATTCTAGAAGCACAGGTTCGTCTATGGCAACAAACTGCTTTGGAACTACCCATACCCTCATCTGTAATGCTATTTGTAAATATGAAATTAGGTCATACACATAACCCAGTATTAATTATCTCGTGCTTATCAAATATCGTTTTAATCACAGCAGAACTGGGTCGATTAACATGTTTTTAGCTTCTGGTATGCGTAGCTTTGAATCTGATAACACTGTAACCGGTGGAACGGAGAGCAATCCTGAACTCTCTCCATTGAGAAGAAACTTCGGCTTTCTGGGAATGCCAGCACTTACGTCATCAACAGCACCTGCATCTCAACCACGTCAAGGTGGTATCCAAGGACTTCTGAACACATTTTTTGGTTAGGAGTTTCGCGTTGATGTTTTATTTCTACATTTCAACACTTATCTTGTAGATTCCAGGGCGTAGCTTTTTCGTAGCTTATCTCGTATACATGCACCGGAATACTGTGAAATCAAGCAATCCAATTTTTCAATGCCGCCAAGATCGAGAACTGAAACAAAAATGTCTTGATGCATCTCCAAAATGGGAACATTGTTCCGCTATCGCAGAAAGAAAGCGCGACGATGGAGTGGTTCACTATGCTCTATTCCAGTTTCTTCCCGAGGGTTTAGGACTAGTTCATTGCATCACTAGTCAGCAGCTGGATACCAACACCGTATGTTCTGGATTTTTCCCTTCTAACGCTTTCTTAAACGAGCGTCGGCTTATAAAAATCAATTATACAGGCTCAGGCAAGGGTGATCATTGTTCCGATTTTGAAGTTTTAGAATAGTGGGTCATATACGGTCATTCCCGCCATCTATTTAACCTTGAACAACCATCTTATTAACCTAGAAAGTAATGAAGAGCAAGCCAAAAAGGGGTTTGACATTTTTATTTCACTACTTGAAATCGCCGTGCTCACGAATTTAGCAGTTTCCTTCCGATTGCTGTAGCATTTATCGATGGAATGTTCAATTTCCTATGAATTTGACCCAAATTTATCCACTCCGGTAGTTGCCCATTCGAAATGACGAGTTATATGAATGCTCAAAGCTTATTTTACTTCCAGTTTTTCCTTTAGGAATCTGTTATAGTTATAATCACAATTTTAACCTTTTTTATTTACTGCCTACTCTTCTTAATGGCAGGATATATTGCGAAATATAACTTTAATGATGCTGAGATATTTGCAAAATCCCGGACCGTGGGTGTTTGCGCTGGGGAACGAACGCGCTATTGTCCTTTCCGGGGAGTAACGCGCTCACCACCACACCATGCGGGTCTTTCGTTTCGCCTATCTCTTAGCTTGTTATGTCGTTTCCTACCGCAGACACCTGCGGTCCGGAGTTTTGCAAAGATCTCAGCATCATTAAAGTTATATTTCGCAATATATACCTCGCCGCTAAAAAGAGTAGGCAGTAAATAATAAACTGCAATCGTTATAATTCAATACGGACACCTTATACGAGGTTGTTCTAAAACTATTATTCGAATAACGCAATGATGTCTTTGACTTTCTCTGACTCGCTATGAGGAAGTTAAAGAAGTCGAAACCTTAGCCAAATAAAGGTTGTATAACACCTCGTGCAAGCTGAACAACCCAGAGAAGTTTACTGATTATTCACGCTGTGGTTAAGTGAAAGTCGATTTAAAAAATAAAATTACGATTCCGGTAATGAATTCGAAAGTGATAATTTCGAGATCACTTGTGAAAGTCGGTTTATTTGTATTAATGTGTACAATTCAGGCTGAAATAAAAACGTTATTCAGAGCAATTTTTGTAGCGGAACATTCGGTAGCTAAATGAGTGGGTTCGTTGATTTTTCAAACACTTGAAAATTTCTAGAGTCCACTAGAGATCCGTAGAGATAGATTTTGGCGATACACCATGTAGAAATAAGTTAATTTATATTTTATTTATCTTTATTGATCGAAATTGTTATAGTTCCCAGGATCGACTTTCTCTTAACCTCGGCATTGGAATATGAATGTGTCGTCTTCTTGTTCAGCAATCGCGAGGTTTTTAAACAGCATACATTTACTTCCATAGAGAAACACAACAAAATACAACACTAGCTGACGTTTTGGCAGTATCGTCTTCTTCAGAGCCTGGAAGGGTATACTGATATACAATATACTAGGCCAAACGCTTCAACAACACAAAAAGACGAAAAACTCTACGGTAATTACATGATCAACAGCTTCTCGAAAAACCCACCGCTTTTTCGTGACTTCCAATGAGGAAGTTTAGAACAGCTGATTATAGTCGCATATGGTTGACGACTGCACCATCCCACATCTGAAATCGATGCGAACATACGGGGTCAGGTCGCGTATGACCTCCGGGCATTCGTCCCTGCTATTCATTGTATGGTTTCTGGCATTTATCCAAAAAGCCTCAAGAAATTTTCGCACTGGTGTTTTGGACTCGAACTTGTTATGAAAACCTTTTCTAACCCAGAATAGAAGATGTTCTCCGCTGAGACGTGCAGATTGTTGACTGCTCGAATTACGTCAAAATAGTTTGGCTAAATGTGGAAATTCGTAATTCTTATGCTCTTCCATATTGCACTATTTCTTGCAGTGCGTTTTCGTTGGCTACTCTGATACAATTCGATTTTTTTGGTGAAGCGCCACTCTACTTTTCACTAAAATGCAAGTGGATTTCCAGGATCGTCAGTGGATGACTCAGAGCCCTTACCTACACCACCCACTCCACGTCCTCGGCGAACAAATCTTTTTGGATTGTTAGGTAACGTCTATAAAGAATAGTTGTTTCAAATGGAAGCTCTTTTCCAAATTGTTATTGGTAAAATTGGCAGTGTTATTTTTTTAGCAAGTAGGGAATCCGTTGATGCATCAAATTTGTAAGAAGCACTAAGTAAGAAGTGAATAAGTGAATAATAAATGGAAAAGATAGTCAAATACTCACCGTTGTTCGTATTAAAATGTGGCTTTGTACGCCTTGAAGATGACGTTGCGTTTACAAGGCAGTAAGGGTCTGCAATTTGCTTAGCTGTGTTGCGTCATAGGAAAATGAGAGCTCTAGATTAACATGTAGGTACCTCGTTTAGAGAGTCGCTATATCATTGGAAAATATAGATATTACGGAATCTATGTAGATATCTGATATGATCATTTGAGCGAAATGTGACGAGATAATACGTTAACAAGTGCTTGCGATAACCCGTGATTGCCACCTATGTATTGCTTTTCTTCACAGCATATACTTCAAACATGGATAATAAAACGTTTGTGTGCATTGCAATATGATCAATAAGACGATATTGAGACTAACACAAAGAGTTAATGCGAAGATTTAGTTACGTAGACAGTACCAGATCAGCTGCATTGAACAGCTGAAGTAATATGGAACAAGACATATTAGATTCCTGCAAAATTGTTAGTCGACTAGCAATTTCATTTTTTTCATATATTCCCTGCCTCATAGAGGGATTCCTTGCCGGTTAGTCGCAAGGCAACGTTGCATGCGCTCCAGGGTTTATGCAGATTGAATTCAACGGGTAAATTCGGCCAAACGTCTGCAATGAAGTGCCTGAAAAGTACATGGGAGGTTCTTAGGAATCGCCCCCAACAAACAGCCTTTCGTATATTTTGGGAGAGATTGGCGAGCTACCTGCGAGCATATCCATCACTTACGTCTACTCCTCAAGAAGTTTTATGTGGATATCAAACGGTACATACAGTAAAATAAGCAGTCTTCATTCCCCTCACTCCGAAGGAGTTCCCGACACGACAGCGCTCAGTAGAACGGGTGCGAATAGGCTGCTAAAATCTGAACTCAATTTAAGGCTGCCTGGATCACAAGGTCTAATTGGCGATCTATACCTACTATTCATGCACACTTGCATCTGAATCCTAGATAGAATACTGGATCGGAAAGCAAGAAGGGTAGGGAACGATGTCATTAGCCTCGCCGAGAGGAGACGACGCTACTAATTCAGAGCTCTTTATGACACAAGAGACGAACTATTCTTCGAAACATGAAACAGTAGCGGGGTAGAGGCCATCGGTGTTCTCTTCAACACGAGTTTGGCCATGAACATTTAAGAATCGGACTCTTACGATTGACAAGATGTGAACCAACACCGGCTTCGACAGTTTACGTCGTTTGCGCACCGACTTCAAGCAATGACGAAGAACACTTCGAAACGTTCTATATCGAGTTAAAGAAGTTCGACACAAAAGACCATACATTTCTCAAGGTAATCAATGGAGAGTATAACGCTAAAATTGGACCCAGAAGAACGTTTGAAAAGCATCTCACTGGGACCTACGGACTAGAATGGAACAAGAAAGGTGAGCGGCTGTCTGAGTTTTTCATGACCATCAAGACCATTCGTGGTAATTGGCTATTTGAGATGCACCATTCTCAACAGTGGACGTGAGACTCTACAAATGAAGAGCAACATAATCTATTTCTTACCGAAAGGAGATGAAGCCACTAAGTTAAGAAATAAAGTGTCGAAACCAAGATTTACTGAGAGTTACTCAATTTATTAGTATGCCATTCCTGATTTCATCGCTGAGGAACATGATAAGTTTATTCTGTATTTTTAGTCAGCGCTAAGAAAGTTGAAAGTTCGAATGTTACAAAGAGTCCTTTTTCGCGAGAAAAACTAGAGCTGGTACGCCACCGTGGAATCCCACGGTCTGCAGGCAACTGCCGTTTCGCGTCCGAACTTGTAGAAGAATGCAGATAGACGATAAAAGAAGTTCTTAAATAGAGAAAAACGGCAGATATGGTTGGAAATGCAGAGGCTAGGAAAAGAATTCACAAATTCCCCGAAACTTTGCCAATTACAAAACAAAGATGATTACACTCCGACACCCGAGCGGGGCAGGTACAGCTTCCAGAAGAGCAATGGAGAAAATCATTTGACGACGAGTACTCCGATATCCTCAATAGATACTGCTTTATTTCTCCATACGAAATGAAGGAAAATGGATATGTCGCTCCATCGGTTTTTGTTACAAAATGCCATGTATTTCGCCAGTGAAAAATCGAAGGACGACGTTTCCTGAAAGGATAAGACCTAATCATCTGGAGAACTTTCCATCAGTCCTCATAAACACTCCAGTTCGACTATTCACACGTTCCCTCTCAGAATGCAAAGTTCTTATTCAATGGAACGCCAGCAAGACCGTGTTTGCTTATGTTTATGAATAGTGATCTGCACGACATCGGCAATTATTGTCTGGTCTTTCAGCTCTCTCTCGTCTATAGACTTTATCCTCAAGTCGTTTTAAATAACAATGACAGATTCTTCGTTAGCCATATAAAAGCTTCACAACCAAAACATCATTATTCTACAACGACATTATCACAGAGGTCAAAAGAGGGTTAGGCAAGGCGACAAGGCGTTACCATCTTGCCAAAATTGTTTACCGCCACCCTCTAGAACGTTACGCGAACACTAGGATGGGACAACATGAAAGTGAAAATCGATAGTCGGAAATTACCCCGCCTCCGCTTTGTTGATGATATCGTCCTTATAACACCAAACATTAGTCAAGCGGAACGTATGCTTGACGACTTTGATAAAGCCTGTGGAAAGATTGGTCTTCGACTAAATCTCACAAAAACGTTGTTCATGAGGAATGGATTGGTTTCGTATGACCCATTCACGCTCAACGGAATGAATATTTTCGAATGCTCCAGTTACGTCTACATGGGTCGGGAAATCAAGACGATTAGCGAATTAGCTTCAGACTCGAGCAGGAGAAAGCGAGCGGCTTGGGGAGCTTCAAGAGCATTGAAGACGTAGTGAAGAGAACAAGGAGCACCCGAGTCCTCGCCCACATTTTCGACTCAACTGTACTTCCTGTGTTAGCGAATGCATCAGAAACCTGGTCGCTGCGTAAACAGAATGAAAAATCATTCAGCGTTGTTGAACGCGCACGAAAAGACAATGTTAGGAGGACCTCTTACCACGCAAGTGAGGGAAGGGATTCGAAGCTCGATCTACGTCAGCAGTCAAAAATCAAAGAGCCAGTCCTATCGGTCTAAGTGTCGAAGATAAGGTGGTGGGCCAGACACGTAATGGATACGAAGGATAACCGACCAACAAGAGTCGTTGGTGACTAGATTTGTCAGGATGTCAGACGTACTGCCGAAAACGCCAGGAGAAAGTTTTGATGAACAACGAGCTCATACAACGAGTAGAACTCACTGGAGTACTTCTTCGTATTTTTGTTGAGCAAACGCGAGGTGTTATTATTCTTTATTCACAAATGAGCTGACGTTTCGGCGGATTTCGCCTTCCTCAGAGCCTGGAAAGGTCAAGTTGACAGCAATCTACTTGGCCAGACGCCTCCATAACCAAACAAAGAAACTCTAAACCAAGATTTCAATCACATTGAACACAGCTTTGCACACTCACCGCTTTCTATGAGGTCTCCACTAAGTATGTCACGTAGAGACCAACCGCACAGAAATCACATGGAAGTATAATGTACCCCACGCATCAGAATAGCAGTCTTATATACTGCCCTACATCACGCGTGATAATAAGGCATTCTTCCCTGCGGTTCATTTTCGGATTTCTGGAATTAATCCAGAGTGCCTCGAGAGTTTTTCGCGCCTGTGTTCTTGATTCGCGAGCGAGGATCGTGACACATACTTCAAAGTCCTCCCCGTTATGTCTCTGGGTCCTATGCGTGCCTAGCGGAGTATTTGGTCT